CACACAGTAAACAATTATTGTTCAACTCTTCCTACTTGAGCATTGTCTCCAGCGTAGTGAATATTTGGCAGCTATTTTCTTTATCTGGTTAGTGCAGTCACCCAAACTGGGTAAATCATTCAGGTCTCCACTTGGGGCCTGTGTTTGATGATCTCATTGTTGTTGAGATCTGAGAGATGAAAATGTACATTGGAGCCACTAGAGGACAACTGTCTTTAAAATGTTATTTCTGTTGATCCAAAGTGTCTACTCATAGGAATTCACCCTTAGGAAATAATCAGAATTATAAATAAAGATTTTATGACAAGATGTTTAGTTAACTGTGATGCATTATCATAATAAAAATGGAAACCATCTAAATATATGACAATAGGATAGCTGTTGAATAAATAACAATGTCTCTCTTTGGTGGGATAGTACATAGCTGTTTAAGTTGAGCTTTGGAGAAGATTTAATCATATAGACTTAAATTTCATTTATGTATGTATGTATGTATTTTAAAGTTTATTTATTTTGAGAGAGAGAGAGCACAAGCACAAGCAGGGAAGGGGCAGAGAGAAAGGGCAAGAGAGAGAGAGAGAGAGAGAGAGAGAGAGAGACTCCCAAGTAGGCTCTGCGCTGTCAGTGCAGAGCCTGATGTGGGACTCAAACTCATGAGCCAGAGATCATGACCTGAGCCAAAGTCAAGAGTTGGATGCTTAACTGACTGAGCCACCCAGGAGCCTCTAGAATGTTAAGTTTAAAAAGTGGGATAATGACTCAGTTTTGTAAAATGTGAAAGTACCAGATAAGTCAATGACAAAACTGGTTCCTGCTTAAATTATCAAATGCATAAGAAAAAAAAGTAGAAAATGTTGAATACAGGTATCTGTTTATGTTGCTCTTTTAAATATCTTCCAGTTCTGATCAATTAGAATCACATACTCAGTATAGAAGAAGTTTGTATTTGTATTGATGAGGGGGGGAAAAACAAGAGAGAAAAATGACCAGAAAAAGTCCCTCACTCTGTTAACAGTGTTATCCCTAGGTAGTGGGTTTAAGATGCTTTTTCCCCTTATTTGTGCTTTTCTGTATTTTTCATATTTTCTTCAATGAATATAGTTTATACTCAGGAAGACAGATTTATATTGAAAGAGGGGGAAATGATCACATCCCTATTTGTCTACATCTTAGTAATTTTTTTAGTACAATCCTCTCCAGATATGCTTCACAACTAAGGAGCTCTCTGTTTATATATATATATATATATATATATATATATATATATATAATTAATGTTTTTAAAATTTACATCCAAGTTAGTTAGCATATAGTGCAGCAGTGATTTCAGGAGTAGAGTCCTTAATGCCCCTTACCCATTTAGCCCATCCCCCCCAACCCCTCCAGTAACCCTCTGTTTGTTCTCCATATTTAAGAGTCTCATGTTTTTGTCCCCCTCTCTGTTTTTTATTATTTTTGCTTCCCTTCCCTTATGTTCATCTGTTTTGTATCTTAAAGTCCTCATATGAGTGAAGTCATGTGATATTTGTCTTTCTCTGACTAATTTCACTTAGCGTGATACCCTCTAGTTCCCTCCACGTAGTTGCAAATGGTAAGATTTCATTCTTTTTGATTGCTAAGTAATAAGGAGTTCTCTGTTTATATGAATGTCTGCAGCACACTGTGGAGAAACACCCCTCTCTTGATGTCCCTCAATGGGATTCCTTCTAGTTCGCTCTGAACAGTCTTAGCCATGTAGTGACTTTTATAGATACAGTACTGTATAGATATAGATACTGTGTATGGATACAGTCCCTGCCCGCTTCTTCCCAAGGTAATAAATGTGATGATCACTTTCATACTAAGTGCTGCTTTCTTTATGGAGGCCAGAAAGCCCCCAAGAAAGCAAGATGCCAAAGGGAAATCACCAGGAATGGAGTGGAGCGTAGCAGAAAGCACCTTACCACAAGCCCAGACTCTGCTTTGAGATGGCTGGTAGCTAGTGTTGGCGGGGTAGGGAAACTAACAGAGAGAGGAGGAGAGAATTAGGCAAGGAACTTGCTCCAGGCAGAGGGGGAGAGTTCAGAGATTCAATGTTTTTATGGGAATAATAATAATAAACATGATTATGTTAATACAAAGAGCCATAAAAACAATAAACAGTTCTGAGGTGCCAACAATGTGCTTGATGCTGCTACAGAATTAAACCCTCTCAATTAAATTGTGATCTACATTCCGTCTAAACTCTGGAAAGATGAGCAGCCATGTGAACAGCCTGGGATGGAAGGAAGTATAAGGCCATGGGTCTTTATCCTGGTTAAATAATGTTGGTAGGGACTGTGATCTTCTCTGTTTTCCCCGCTGTGCTCTGACCTGTTGACGCAGAGCCCAGGGCGAGACCCAAACAGGGGAATGGAGAATCCGAGGAGAAAGTCTAAGGAAGAAGACCATGTGAAGGGCTAAGGGACATCTTTGAGAGGTTGAGCAATCAATGCTATGTATAGAAATATAGAAGAAGCGATTTGAGAACTTCATGCGTGGTGTTTGCATTGGATTCCCACATTGCCAGTGGGAATGGTACTCCTTGGAGTCATCTTTGAAAAACAGATAGCTAGATACCCTGCTTGGGGCTAAGAGAGAGGGAGTGTTTCACTGTAGTGGAAGGCTGCTGACCTATTCCTGTGGGGAATTAAGAGTTCTATCTCCAGGGAGGACTCCAGGCCTTGTAGTCCTGAATTGTGCTTCTTCAGGAGAAGGACAATGAGGAGGTGGAAGCTAACAAGGTCATTGAATGCGGAGAAAAGTAGGTCTTGGAGAAAGCTGGAGAGGAATGTTGGAGATCACAAGAGAAGAAAAATGGGGAGGGAGGGGATTGGAGAAGACAAAAGAGGAAACAATACAGGTGCACTGCTCAAAGAGGGAGTTCATTGTCTTTTTCACCTCCTTGTTTGAAGACGGATCATCCCTTTTTTCATTTTGCCACAAGGACAAGCCACAAAACCCAGGCACATGTTTTTGAAAGTACCAGATAAATCAATACAAAACTGATTGCCCAAATTACCAAATACATGAAAAAAAAAGCAGTACAGCATATTGAATAAAATGTTTACGTTGCCCTTTTAAGCATCTTTTTTTATGGCATATAATTTTTTTTCTTTCAACCTTATTTTTTTTTTTTTACAAATAGTTTATTGTCAAGTTGGTTTCCATATAACACCCAGTGCTCATCCCCACGAGTGCCCTCCTCCATGCCCATCTCCCCCCTCCCCCCCACAACCATCAGTCCTCAGTTTGTTCTCAGCATTCAAGAGTCTCTCATGGTTTGGGGCGCCTGGGTGGCTTAGTCGGTTAAGCGTCCGACTTTCGCTTAGGTCATGATCTCGCTGTTCGTGGGTTCGAGCCCCGCGTCGGGCTCTGTGCTGACTGCCAGCTCGGAGCCTGGAGCCTGTTTCAGTCTGTGACTCCCTCTCTCTCTGACCCTCCCCTGCTCACGCTGTCTCTCTCTCCTAGAAATAAATAAAACATTAAAAAAAAAAAAGAGTCTCTCATGGTTTGCCTCTCTCCCTTTCCCCCACCATTTCCCCCCTTCTTCTCCCCCATGGTCCTCAGTTAAGTTCCTCCTAATCCTCCTGTACGTGCAAACATATGATATTTGTCCTTCTCTGCCTGACTTATTTTGCTCAGCATAACACCCTCAAGGTCCATCCATGTTTGATTCAAATTCTATTCAAGTCATAAACTCCGTGTAAAGTACGTGTTTTTACTGAGGCCCAGAGAAGTTAAGGGCATGGGACTCTGTCAAAGTCGCACGGTGACTTCCTGACTCCCAGGGCAGCCCTCCTGCCAGAGGGGAGGCAGCACCCTCACGCTCCCCCTCCTGGCCTGCCTGACCCACGCGGAGGCAGCTCCCTTCCCACTGTGGCACAGACTTGAGGTTCACTTGGAACAGATGCCTCGGCCTTTCTGGGTCTTGGTTTCTTCAGCTGCAGGATAAGGGTCTGGCCTTGAATGGCCCTTCGCCATCTAGGTTTGCATCCCTAGGCTGTTTGCCAGCAACTCAGCATATGTTTGACTTCCCCAAACCTTAGAAAAGTGTTTGTAAAATGTGGCCCTAGCCCAGCAGCATCAGCAGTATCACCTGGGAACTTACTAGAAATGCAAATTCTCAGGCCCACCCCAGATCCTACAGAGTCAGAAAACTGGGGGCGGGGCCCAGCAGTCTGTGTTTCCGTAAGCCTCCAGGAGGTTCTGATGCAGCTCAAGTTTGAGAACCGCTACTCTCAGTTGTTTTCTGCCCCACGCTAAAGGGAGGGTTTAACACACACACTCACACACACGGGGGTAACCAACTTTTCTCTTTGGCCGCTATCCCTCCCCTCCCCCCCTCCCCCATCCCTTTCCTGCTTCTCCATCCAGGGATGATGAATGGAGGTCAGGGCAGGGCGCTGTCAACGCAGGGCGCTGCAAACCCGCCCTCCTACACCCACCCGGTGGGTCGGGGTAGGTGGCGTTGGGGCTTCCCCGAAGCCGGTTTCCTCATCATATTCTTGACAACCACTGCCCCGCTTGGGGAGCGGGGGGCGTTTAATAGCAAAGTTTGCTTTTAATGATTTACCCGATAGTTTGTCTGCAGAGCGAAGACTATTGAGAGAGGGGTGTCAGAAAAAGTCTTGGGGAGAAATGCCTGGGAGAGAGAAGAGAGGGATAGCGTATGAGAGGAAGGGTCTGAGGTGAAGCTAAAGAGAAAATGAGAGTCGGGGGGGGGGCTGGGGGGGAAAGGCCGAGGGCATTGCTCGTGCAACGGAAGAGACGTCGGGGAAGAGCGCGGGGCTAGAGCGCAAGAGAAAGAAAATGGGCGTCGGGAGAAAAACGGAGTTTGGGGAACTTTTTTTTTTCCCAGCTTCCTTTCCTTTCCAAGAGTTTTTCTCCGCTCCATTTTGCTCCTCCCCCTCCTCCCCGCCTCCCCTGCTCCCCCTCCTCCCCCGCCTCGCGCGGCAATGGGAGGCTCCTAGGCAGGAGAAGCAAACGAAGGAATTGTTTGCGAGTTCAGTCATCCAAAAAAGCTTCTTCCATATGGAGGGACCGGGTGCGCCGGGCGCGGCGTCCCCTGCCTCGTCCTCCTGCTGCCGCCGCGACCGCCGCGACCCCCGCTTCCTGCCGCAGGGACCCTGAGCCCCGGCCCGCCGGTGTCAGCCTCTGGGCGCGCACGAACGCACACTCACCCTTACACACACACTCACTCACTCACTCACGCCCGCCACAGCCACACGCGCCCGCACGCGCCCTCCCTCCCCGGCCTGCAACTTCTCCGGCCGGCGCTCCTTTGTTGCTCCCGCGGCGGCCGCTCTCCGGTTTTGTGAGTCCGCGGGTGTCACTGTGCCGGTTGTGTGTCCGTCCGGCGAGGTGCTGTGCGGCTCCCTCAGCGCCCGCCACGCCGGCCCCCCCGGGCCCCGCTCGCCCTTCCTTAGGAGCTGCCGCACCAGAGGTGAGTCACGTCGCGGAAGTTTGTTTTCTTTTCACAAAAAGTTGTGTTCCTGTGGGGGCGGGGGCGGGGGCGGGAGGCGCCGCAGGCCGGGCGAGCCCCGGGGAGCGCCGTCTGCGGGCGCCGGGGCGAGGCGGGCCGCGGGGCTGCGGGGCCGCCGCCGTCCGGGAGCCGCAGCCGGGCCCGGGCGCCGCAGCTGGCCGCCTGCGGCGCGGCGTGGCCGCTCGTTCCCGGAAGCCTGTCGCGTGGAAGCGCGGCCCCGAGGAGGCTTGACACCGGGCCCCGGCTCCGCGCGCCGGGCGCGGGGAGAAGCCCGCAGGGGGTCGGCAGAAGCCGGTGGCCCGGCGCCCCCCCCGCGGACCGGGTTACCGTCCCGGCGTTGAAAAGGACGACGCTGCAATGAGGCGCCGCGCGGACCGGAGCGAAACGGCCCCCGGAGAGCCCGGCGGGCGGAGGGGCGCGCGGCGCGGGACTGCAGTGGGGGGTCCCGCGCTGTGCGTGGGCAGCGGGAGGGCCGGCCGCGCGCGCATCCTCCTGGGGTCGCGCTGCGAGCTTTGGTCCGTGTAACTGCGAGGGGTGGGGAAATGAACCCCTGCAACAGGTGGGAAGGGGCCGTAGGGAGGGGCGAGGGACCCAGGCAGGAGTCTCGGCTGGGGATTCGAAGGCCTTGCTTCACTTCCAGGGTGCCGGGTGTGAGCTCTTACAGGTGATGGGCCAGGTTGCAGGGGCAAGGGGCAGACGGACTTGGGGGATTTGTTCGGTTTTGTTTGGGGGGTGCGGGTGGCAGGGGCAGGGCCGCTGGGAAGATCCCTGTGGCAGTGGATGTGGCAGTGGAGCTAAGAATACCCAAACCGCACACCCGCAATCCTAAACAGGCGCTTCTTGGGCGTGGTGGGGTATTCTGCCGCTCCCCCACCCCTTCTCAGCAAGTTCAAATGGGTTCCAAGAACCTTTCGACTCAAGAGTTACTTCTTTGAGTGGACTGAGTGGCTCTCGCGCCCGTGTGCCACCTCCAGTGCCCTGTACCCAGCTCACACTTGTCACCTAGGTCTTTGTTGTCCAGAGCTTTGCAGACCTTGGACGTTGAATAAATGGGATTCTCGAAAGTCCTGACTACGCGACTGTTTTTGATTCATTCCACAACCGGGCCCTAAAGCGCTCAACTCTGTGATGGCTCTTTCATCCCTCTGGCTACAGCCAATAAATCAATCTCCGTTTCCTCGAGGTCAGCATGGACAATATTATAACAGGGTCTTGTTGGACTGAGGTGGGGGCTGGGGCACCTATACATCTGGGTGACCTGTTTTCTGAACTTTATTTAAAGTGAATCTGAGGCAAGAGCTTGGCTGTTTTGAGGTGTGTAACAGGTTTCCCAAGAATGTTTCTGAGGTCTTATAATTGGCACTTTTTAATGGCCTCATAATTGAAACCCAGGAGGTTCCCGTGGTAATCTTGAAGCATCTTGGGGTCAGTGGGACAGAGGCAGGGTGGAAACGGCAGCGGAGTTATGATTTTCCTGCCGGATGAGTTTTATAGTGAGTTTATGTACGAGGCAAAATATGAAAGAAGAGTTGCCTCACTGCACCACTTGGCTGACACTGCCCACCCCCCTTTAGTACCCAGTGTGGCCCTTTCAGGAGACTGGAGGGTGTCTTATTCCTATGAAGTCTGAGGGTTGAGACCTCAGACACTATCCCTTTCATCCTCTTTCAAGAGATCTGAGAATTCAAGAGACATTTATGTCCTCAGGAGAAATGGCCCCAGACACAGGCTTTACTCTGGAGAGGTTGCTAGAGGCCATGGTGATTGGCTCCTTGACTATAGCTGGGGGTGGGGGACAGAGATCCCTGCTTAGCTGTTGATTGGTTTGCCAGCTTGTGATAAGACGGTGATTTATGTTCCTTTCCATCCTCCAAATGGATTTGGAGATTTTCCTTTCTTTGAAGTGCTCTTTCAGGTGTTTAGGCTCCCACCTCTCTTCGGCAACTCATCTGGGGTTTCCATTCCCTAAGAAGGAGTAGAGGATTTTACTCATTAAATAATTCAGTTGACTTCCTCAGGGACCCCCAGGGTTTAGCAAAAAAAGCAAGAAGAGAGCCAGGTGGTCACAGTATTCCAGGAGACCCTGGCAGGGCCTGGGTTCAGATTTCAGCAGAGTCACGGATAGGGTTCATGAATAAGGGGTTTTGTCTCTGTTTTTCAACCAAGTAGGAAGAAACCTAAGAAGACCCAAATGCACCAGTTAATTGATGTCCAGTACTTTCTGGCTTCTGAGTCAGGAAGTATTAACTTGGCATCAAAGAATATTATACATTTGGAGTCTGCTTTCTGGGGAAATAAGAGAAAGGGGAAGGGAATGGAAATTGGGGAGGCAGAGGAACGAAAGTGATTTGTTACGGTAAAAAAATCTTTTTACTTTATCATCGAGAACTTCTTGTCATTTCCATACTTCAATTCAGCAAACATTGCTAGTATATAAGACCCTGGGCTGGGAGATTTCTTGGCCCAGGAGAATAAGTCAAAAGGGTGTTTCTCCAAACTAAATCTTCCCCCTGCCCCTCGATTTTTATTTACTGCACAAGCATCTACTAATAGTTTGAAATGTGTTTTTTTTTAATGACCCACATTCCTATACCATAACACAACTCGATTTTCATCCATGTACATACATACTTTTCACATGGTAGTGATAAAAGTGTAGACTTCTTTGTGGTCAGCAGTGAAGCATCTAGAGATTTTTGTCCAAAGATGCAGACAGATACATCCATCCCAGTTCTCTATTGGTGGGAACATCCTAAATCCTCAGAGTGCTCCCACAGGAAGCCTTTACATGTAGTATTTTCATCATTTATGAGGCCGAATCAAATATCGGGGGCTGAGGGAGGTGGGATGGAAGAGGGTGTTTTTCATCTAGAAATCCGTGTTTACAGAAAGTCTCTCTAAATAGGGCTTTTGCCTCCTTGGAGCCCTCAGGGTTGGTAATGGGTAGAGAAGGGGAGGAGGAGGGCAGGAAGTAGGGTTTAGAGGATCCATCTCAAGTGGCGCTGCCCTGAGGATTAGGAAACTTGGGTGGGAGCCCTGGCTCTTCCTGTCGACTCCGTTCACACTGACGCAAACCCCTGAACCAGCTAACTGATCCCTGCATTGCCCCCGCCACTGTGTTAGCCTCCCTCTCCAGGCTTGCCCCTCTGTAGCATCTTTTCCATGCCTGCCACCACCATGCTTCTTCATGCCCTTGACAATTGTCGCTGACACGTGGCTGGACTCCCCGCTGGCTACCTGTCACACCACCCGTCCTCCTTCAGTCCCATAAACAAGTCCCCATCCAGCTTAAAAGCAGGCTAAGTCTACTATCCAGATTTCTTAGCCCGCACACATGTGGCCCTGTCCCACCTCACGATACTGTTACCTTGGTAGGAGCCCTCTGCTCCAGCCCTATCTAGTAGCTGACCATTGATTTTTTGCTGGGTTCATTCCTTGTTTGCTGCCTTAACACCCAAACCCCTTTCTTATAAGCCCACCTCCCTTTGCATGAGACCTTCTAATAATGTGTTCTTGAGAGATACTTGAAGAATATTGATGACAATGGGCTGCTGGCTGCAAAGGTAATGGTTTTATGCAATCAGACTTTCTTCAATGTGATCATTATCCTTTAATCCATTGTTCATTTTATTTCTACCAGGGGCCAGGTAACTGGAGATTTAAGGAAGACTAGGATCTTAGAAAAACTGCTTTTTCTGTCTCCTTATTTAGAAAATGGATTAATAAGGAATTACTGTGGTTTACAGCACTGCACCTATTATGAAAAGCCAGTACTCCAGAACTGTTTGTTTTGTTGTTCAAAAGATAAGACACTTCTCTTTTTCCCCAGTCCCAGCACGAACTTCCTGGAACCCATGACCCGTGAAGTCTTGTCAACACTCACACCATCTGAGGGTAGCAGCCATGAAGTGAAAGGAGCAGGTGAGGTTTTCTGTCCATGATCTAATACCTCAGGCCTATTGGGTCATATTTTTTCATGTTTTGTGTTGCCACTTGAGGATAGAGTATTTCTCACCCTTCAGTATTAGAAGAGTCTGGCTCTGAGTGGAATCTGGACCAAACAGATCAGTTCTAGTTCATTTCAGACACTTTTGCAGTCAGAACCTATGGGGACCTCTTTCCCTTGAGGTGGCTGTGTGAATCTCCCTTACCTGGAGGCACCTCTGTTCAACATGTTGGACACAAACCATTTACTATGGAATTTGGAGTCTGAGGCTCCTGTGGAAAAGTCCTGCTTCGGTTCGGGTGAGGAGAGCCCTCTGTTTATGCCTCTGTCAGCGGTATTACAGCGAATGCCTTGTGATCTGCTGTCCTGGGCAGTGTTTATCTCACAAAACCCGGAGGGATTCTGTGTCATCCCAACTTTTGAAATAAAGTTAGGAAATAATTTCTCCTTTCCTAATGGTGAATTTGGCCTTATCTTCAAAGAAGCTCTTTGATGTTTGGGGTAGGATTATTGGGCAGTAAGAGGAAATCATAAGAGAAAGATCAGAGCCAATAATACACAGTCAACCTCATTTGGTTGCCAGAGAAGATGTTGAGGAAAGTCTCAACTAGTCCTCCTGGTAAGTAGCAGGAAAGCACATAATATGGCCAGGGTAAGTGGGGCTGAATAAAAAAATAACTCAAAAGGAGCTGAACAGCAGAAAGCATGGCAGAGGAATGCTTATTCTCTGAAATGACTTTGGACAGCGTTGGACAAGATGAGGGTGATGATGTGTGTGGAGGCTGGAGCTTTCATGCTTTCAACAAGCTTTTATTGGGTACTTGCTGTGTGCCTAGGATTGATACCAGAGCCCACGCTGTCCAGAATTCCATCACTGGCGGGAAGGCAACACTGCAGTGCAAACTAGTGTTAAAGTACTTGCACAGGGTCAATTAAGAAAGACTTTTTGAGGGAGGAGACTCAACATCTCAGATGAAGTCTTAAAGGCAGAGATGGGACTGGCGGTACGGAACTGTTCTGTGACCTCTGCCTGTAGGTGCTCTTCAGTACTTTCTCCCTGAAAACTTGCTTTTCCTCAGCAGACGGTAGACCGAAGTAGTCTTGACCAGGAGATTGCAAGTTCAGAGTAGTTTTGTTAGTTTTAGGAAAGTTAAGAATGGGCAGTTCTGCGTTGAATACAGAATCTCAGAAATCTGAGTCTTAGACCAGTTTGTAAAACCAGTTACTAAATAGCTTTCAGGGGGAAGAGGAGAAATGTGTGATTTTCTTTTCTTACTCATCTATGTCAGATTTCAGCTGAGAACTTTAGAAACACATGCCTGAATTCAGCTTTTTACCTTTGAATTTCATTTGCCCTGTGTTCTGCTGTCTGCACTAGGTTTGCTAACTCTGAAGTCACTCCCATAGTAGTCAGTGAGGAAGTGTTTATTTTAGGGGCAAATAAAAACCTCCTTGATTGCTGAGAGGCAACGATCATATGGATGGGAGCTCCAGGTAAGAGGAAGAAGGCCTGTGGAGGTGGCTGACCTTGGAAGTCCCCCCAGGCAAGGCTGGAATTGAACTCTTGAACAGAACCCTCCCCCACCTTCCCGGGCCCTGCCAGGATTTTTCCAGAGTAGTCCCAGCCAAGTGCCTTTACTAGTCTAAGTTTACCTAACATTACAGTCACAGCAGGTTTATTAGGTATGGGTCACAGTTAATTGGAGAGGAAAATTGGGGGGTTCTGGGTTTATTACTTTTCTATGAAAGTAGAGGCTGCTCTTTATTATTTCACAGATCATCCCTGCTACTTGACTCTCCCTGCTCTCTAAAGACTGTCAGCCCACAGCGGTGTTGTGGCAGCTTTTCCTTTTTATGTACCTGTGTCCACGTGAGGGCGATTTCATAATGCCTCAGTCAGCACAGTGAGAGCACAGAAAGCAACGGAAATTTGTGGCTGTTTACCTCTGTCATTATGAATGGATGTTTTGTAGTGAACAAGTTACATAAAAATCTACCGTGTTAGAGCCAAGCGTTAGATTCTAATGACTCTTCTAACATACAGGCCTTCCAAGCCTTCACCTGCAACCTCCCCTGACACCACTGTGGTCTGCCATCATGAAGGCCACGTCAGCTTCAGGTGACAGCCTTGCGGTCAGGTGCTTTTCATTCCAGGGCCTTGGGTTGTGGAGACAGAGACAGAGACGGAGGCCAGGTGGTTAGGCCCAGCTCTGGCCTGTCTGGACCATGGCAGCTTGCCAGCCAGCTGCACTGGGTGGTCTCTGACAATGGGAGAGGGGAGGGGTGGGGGAGCTCGGCTCTCCTGCCCAACGGGGAACAAGAAGGTTGGCAACCAATCCTCCCTCATTGAAACACCACAAAAGTCTTGAGCACTGGTGAGAAGAAATGGAACAGGTTGCTGAGGGCGGTGTTGTGAAGGAGGTCATTTTTGTTCCCCTGATTTGATGGACAGAGCCTCGCGTTCATGCGGCGAGCCTCCCTCAAGACGGTGAGCACATGCAAGCCACAGGTACCCTTTATCATGGGAGGTGAGAATCACTCTTCTCACCTCGTCACTCAGGGAATCAGCCGTGGACCTAGAGGCAGGCTGAGGTCCTTGAAGGCCGGTGGCCAGGAGGCAGCTGCACCCGCCTCTTCTGTCCTTCTGCAGATGGGAGAATGATAGCTGCAGTTGAGTGGGCACTGTGCGCCGGGCCCTGTGCTGAGGCCCACAGGCGTTCTCCCTGCACCCCACCTCTCCCCTGTCCTGTGGAGATGAGCGGTGTGATCCTGTTCTGCAGACAAGGGTCCAGAGTTTGAAGAATTGCGGTGACTTGTTCTGCCCTCACAGCTGTTAAGTGGCAGAGCCAAGATTTCATTGCAAGACTGCTGACTCCAAAACTCAGCCTTTGCAGTTAAAGAAAATGCCCAGACAATCTCTCCCGCTAAGCAGGGCCCCCATCACTTGGGGCTGTTTCTTTTGCAACCAACAAAGTGGAAGGGGGGGGGGGGCAGGTGCCAGGGGCGGGCCTTTAGGAGACTTGCCTTAAGAGACGCGAACCAAAACCTGGGACCACAACTGGAAGGTTTCCACTGGCCCCGCAGCGCAGTGGCAGTGCGAGGGCAGCCAGGCTCTGTCGCACAGCTCCTGGCAGACTTGACAGGCAGTTCTGAAAGCCGCCTCCACTTGGGTCTCATCGCATAACATGTTTCCTCCCTCTCCCTCACCCCTTCCCCCCAGCCCCACGCCGGACATATGTGAACTGGCTGTCTGAGGCTCCATGTCCATTGTAGATGCCGGCTGAATGCACTTGCTTCCCGGGTTTCTGCAAGTCTGATCAAGCAGGTCCTCTGTGCCCTCAGTGGGGAGAGGGGGAGAAGGTGCTTGGCCCAGCAGACACTTTCACTGGTCAGGAGAAGTGGCAGCTTGTACAGAAAAATAGCCTGGGGAAGGAGGTAGCAGTTTTGACAGACAGGTAACTGACAGAGATGGTACCTTCCAGGCAAACACTCACAGGACAGCCAGCAGAAAGAATTCTACAGGCAGTTACCTGCCGGAGAGCACAACAGCCCTCTCCCTACTGGCTGAGGGGTGTGGTGGAGATTTGGCTGTGGAGGACTCACAGCCACTCTCAGTTCCCTGGTTTTCTTTAACAAATGTGGATAGCCTGAAGCCGGGGGTGAAGGGGGGGGGAGTCTGCTTTGCATTGGTGGGGTAGGGGGAGGGGGAGGAGGAATGACACAGCGCATTTGGGTTTAAGGAACAATTATGCAGGATACCTGGGTGGCTCAGTCAGTTGGGCACCTGACTTTTGATATCCGCTCAGGTCATGAGCTCACAGTTCATGAGATCGAGCACCATGTTGGGCTCCGTGCTGAGAGCACAGAGTCTGCTTGGGATTTTCTCTCTCCCCCTCTCTCTGCCCCTCCCCTCCTCACTGCTCACTCCCTCTCTCAAAATAAATAAACTTTTTTTTAAAAGAAAGAAACAGGGGCACCTGGGTGGCTCAGTCGGTTAAGCGTCCGACTTCAGCTCAGGTCATTATCTCACGGTTCGTGGGTTCAAGCCCCACATCGGGCTCTGTGCTGAGGAATAGCTCAGAGCCTGGAGCCTGTTTCAGATTCTGTGTCTCCCTCTCTCTGACCCTCCCCTGCTCATGCTGTCTCTATCTCAAAAATGAATAAAACATTTAAAAAAATAAATGAAAATAAAAGAAAGAAACAGTTATGTGACCAACTAGTCGAGTAACTGAGAGGAGTCAGAGAATGAACCTTTTCTTCTCTGTCCCCACAAAGCTGCCTTCTAGAGCACTATTAGGATGCAGAGAGATAGCCCAAGAGACCGCTTGGGATTGAGAATGTTTCTGCTCACATCAAAAGCCCAAGTCCTCTGGCATCTGTGCTCTCCCAGGATGAGTTAGGAGATGAGACACGCTAGGAACTGGCCAGAGGTCGGAGTGTGGGCCTGTGGGTTGCATCTGCTTCTGGGGTTGGGTTTCTGTTTTCCGAGGGCAAGAGCCTGGACTAGAGGCGATTCATCCTATTACCAGAAACCCTTCCCCATCTCTGGACAAGCTGTCTTTTCCCCTCTTGTCGCAAGAGGCAATGAGGGGGTCTCCGGATCTGGCGGGAGTCGAGAGAAAAAGATCTCATGGCCAGGGATGAGAATCCTGGTTACCATTCTTCCTGAGAGAGGAACGACAAAGGAATCTAGGGGGTGTCTGGGGCATCTGTTCAGAGAGGACAGGGTCTGGAGTGAACCTTATTAGAAGGTTGTTCCGGAGGGAGTGGCATTTCAGGGGCCACTTCCAGGTTGGAGATTGTGTGGCATCCTGGTTAAATGCGGGCCTTGGAACCAGATGGGCCTGGGTTTGAACCCTGACCTCGCCAATCGATAGGTGTATGACCCTGGGCTAATTATCTAGACCCTGAAAGCCCAACCTCTTAAGGTTGTTGTAAAAAAGAGAAGCAAGAAATGGCATGTAATGCATATTAA